GGAGGAAGCGGCGAGGCGGCCGCTCCTCTTGTGCAGCCCCCGGAGCTTCCCCGGGAGCCCCGGGCTGGATTCTCTCACTCGAGGAACTCCGGTGCCCCCGTTCCGGGGTGGTGAGCCCCTTCCTCCGCCTGCCCTCGGACAGCAGTCCCGTCCCCCTCACTCCGTTTCTGTGCGGCACAGCCTCATCCCTGCCCTTTCCTCGGGCTGCTTTTTCCCAGGGACTGCTCACCCTTAGGGGACCCGTGGTCTCCCAGCTCCCGTTTTCCTCGTGGGCACCCCCCCTGTTGTTGTAGGGGCTCTGTTCCTCTGTGGGTGCCCCCATCCGAGGGACCCCCGTCCTTCCAGCAGCACAGGACCCCGGAGCACCTCTTCTTCTGGGATCCCTCGACGTCCCCCATTTCCCAGCATCCGTATTTTGGAGATCCCAGAGATGGGGGTGCAGCATGCCGGGATCCAGCCCTGCTCCTCTGCCTCCCCCCGGACCTCTGCAGCCCCTGCCATGGGGGTGACCCCCCTGGGAGGGTGCAGGACCCATGGGGTGATGCCCACCTGCCCCATGTTGTGGGGTCCTGGCTGCCCAAGGGGGCCATGCCTTGCCTCTGCCCCCCGTGGCCACTGCGAGTGCCAGGCAGAGATGCCACCTGGAGCTTGCCAAGCTGCTCCTCTGACTCTCTGCTCCCTGCAGACTTTGTTGGCTCCGTGGCTTGGCAGGGGCTCGGAGCACGAGGCCGATGCACCAGCGGTCAGAATCCTCACAGCCTTCCCATGCCCTGCCAGCATTCCCAGTCCTGCCTGTGCCAGAGCCCATCAGGGTGACCCACAGAGAGCCTGGACCTGCTGGCTCATGGCAGTGACACGGTCATTGCAGCCCGGGCTGGGATTTACTGTCAAGGAAACCAGGATGAGTTGTTGAGCTGCGATTTCGATATTGTTGTAAATTGATTCAAGATGTGCTGGAGTTGTGGGCTGGTGGCCGAGGGACTTTCTGGGGCTGCAGCCAGAGGAAGAGGTGGCCTGTGGGGGGACCTGGCACTGGCAGCTCCTGCATGTCCTCTCTGCACTTGGATTTGCTGGCAGGAAACGGGATTGGCATGTCAAGGCGTTTGGAATTAGTGGCAAGTTTCACTTTGACTTGTTTGGGACCAGAACAATGCTTTGGATTTCTTTTTAACTTGTTTTTAGGGCAGGAGAGACTCATCCCTGTGCAGTCTCACCTCCCCAAAGCTGCTTCTATTTTCTCTTTTATGTATTTATTGCCTCTGGTAAGATCTGGCTTGGTTTCACCAGAGCCCACAGGGCTGCGGGTCTGCCAGCACCGTGTTGGAGGGGTTGGGGTGCGAGTGCCAGCGGCTTTTGAGGGTTCTTCCATCCTCTGCCAGAGCAAATCCTCCCCACCCACACACCCATGGGACTGATGGACACTGTGAAGGTGTCGGGACAAATCCCAGTGGGTGACACAAAGCGAAAGTGCAAGCGCTCATCGCTGATGGGGTTTGTGGTGCTGGCGGCGCTGCCGCAGCTTGACAAGGAGAAAAGGCCAAATCCAGCAATCCCTGGAGGGGCTGCTGTGGAGAGCCTGGAGAGCCAGGCTGGCTGGGAGCTGAGCTGCTGGCTGCTCCCTGCTGTCCCCAGGGACCCCCGGGGAGCCGCTCCCCCGGGAGCGCTCCCCGCACCCGGTTTCTCCCACGCCTACACCGCAGCGATTCATTTCGTGCAACAAAACAAGCCCTGTCGAAAGAGGCCACCCCGCTGCTGCCGGGCTTTTCCCCGCAGGCAGTGGGTGTAGGAGAGTGTGATGGTGTAAACCAGGCTGCAAGGTGCCAGACGCCACGGGGTGGAGGCAGGCAGAGGGTTTTTGGGGAGCTGGGCTGGCCACAGCTGCTTGTGCCGATGAGCTGCTGTGGGCCGAGCCAGCGTGGAGTTTGGGTTTGACCTGAGTTTGGGTTTTCTCCATCCTGTCTGTCCTGTTGGAGTGGTCAGGGAAAACCAAGCAGGTGAATTTCCCTCGGATTTGAGGTGCTGTGACATCACCCACATCCTCAGAGGTCTGTGGTGCTGCTCAGCCCACACAGAGCTGTAAACTAAGACCAGTTTGGGTCTTTAACATAGAAAGTTGTGTGGTGCCAGGAAGTGAAATGAAAGGTGTCTGTCCTGTGAGAAAGGGGGAGAAGGAGGGCAAAATCTGCCTTCCCACACTGGCTTTTAAACGGATTTCCTACAGCCTGTATGGATGTGTGGAAATCTCTCTGTCCTGCTCCTTTCTTGCTTTTTAACTTGTTGGTTTGGTTCAGCCAAAAGAGAGAGAGGGAACTGAGACCCCGTGGGGTTCTCCAGCTTGTGTGGGAACAGCTAGAGGCCCACAGAGAGTGATGGTGCTGTGCCATCACCCTCCATGAGACCCAGAGAATCCTCACCATCACAGGGAGCTGCTCCAGAGGGAGTAGGAGGGCAGTGCTGGGCAGTTTCTGCTGTGGATTGTGCTGGCACCGGCTTTGGCTGTTTTATAGTGATGCTGTAAATATGTGGGTGTATCCCACACCCTGAGGCTGCAGCCAGACCCTTTCCCCACCTCTCCTCCTCCACCAACCCCTCCTGCCTTCCTGAGTGGCAGCATCTCCGTGCCCACCCCCAAATGGCTGCAGCACCCTGCGATCCAGAGGTGCATCCAGATGTTCTTCCAGCATCCACCATCTCTGGGGGATCGGGATGCAGAGAGAGGCTGCACCATCCCCATCCTGGGCGGATGCCCTGCATCACCCGGCCCTTGCAAACCCACCTGTGGCTGGCTGGATCCCCCAGGGACCTGCATCCCCCTGAGCCCCCCGCCAGGCACCTGCATCCCCCCGGACCCCCCGTGCCAGATGCTGTTCCATTGAAAAGTGCCGTTCATTGTAACCTGGCCTTTTATAGCCGCCTCGGAGCGGCTGCGGGGCCATGCCAAGAAAGGCTGCAGCCGGCTCAGAATAGCTCTTTTCATGGAGGACATCCTGGGAAGGAACAATGTTCCCGCTCTTGGGATTGTGGGAACTTTGTATTTCTGCCACTCAGGAAGCGGGGAGCTGCGGGGCCGGCCAGGGCGTCTCCCAGCCCCTCGCTTCGCCCTCTCCTGAAAATAATCCTTGGGATGAGTTTTGAATAGTCCTGTGCTTACAAAGGGAGCTGCAAACGCTTCTCCTCCGGTTGGGAACAGTTATTTCTGGGAGAGCCGGCGCATCAATCACATTTCCTATGCACGTCACTGGCGTGGAACTGCGGCGAGTGGGGCCGGTTTCATTTTCAGGTGCTGGTGCTGCACCCACGGAGAGCGTGAGCAGGGCTGGGCACAGGGGCACGGCTCTGCTCCCTCACACCTCCCCTCGAGGCTGCATTTGTGGTGCAGGGTGACCTTCCCATGCGGCCACAGCCCCTGGATAGCTGTTCCGTGGTGGGAAGGTGGCGAGTTGGATCCGGCAGCTCCTCCGTGGCGAGGCCAGCTGGCTCTGAATGCTCATCCTCCGGGAGAGGGTGGCAGGATTGAGGTGCTGGCTCCCAGCACTGCCCTGGCACTGCTTGGTGCTGCCGGCTCCTCTGGCTGCAATTAAACAACAAATGCATTTACTGGGACAAATAACCCATTGCCGGATCCAGGCACGGATTCCCGTCCCGCTCAGCGCTGGCACCGCCGCCACAGCAACGCTCAGCTTGGGCAAGAGTTTAAGGGAAGCTCCCGGGGGTGGCTGGGGCTGCAGGGCTGGATCCTGCACAAGCCCCAGCTCGCTGTCCCAGCCCGCATCAAAGCCACCACGGCCGGTCCGTCCCGTCCCGCTCTTCCTCGAGTTCCTGGCCCAGCACCCCAAAACAATCCCAGCACCCCAAAACAACCTCAGCACCCACAAACAGCCCCGAGGTGGGGCGGGCTTGGTGATGTACAGCTCTTCCAGCAGCTAGCAGGGATGGAAGTCCCCCGTCCCAACTAATCCGTGGCGTGTCCAAGGATGGGCTGGATTCTCCGTTCAGAGCAAATTAAAGCGATCAGAAATACTTCATCCGACCTGTGGGATGGCCAGGAGCTCCTCGCGGGAACATAGGAGGAATAAAATGTAAATTCTGCCTTAAAGCCACCGGCTGCCGGATTCCAGCTTTGCGAGCACAACGGGCTGGAGCAGGGAGAAGCATCGGGAACTCGCATCCCTGTGGATGTCGCTACTGAAACCTGGGGCTGAGCAGGGGAGTGGGAGGCTGCTGTGGTTAATTCCGGCATGGATTCATCCGGGATAGCTCTTTCCATGTGGGAAGTGCGCCAGGCAGAAGCAGAGAGGCCGGCCTTGTGCCAGCGCTGGGAGGAGGAAGCGCTGGGGAGCGTTTCCCACCGTCGGCTTGGAAAAGCGCGTTGCTACTGGAGACGGCCTTCGGCTGCTTCCCACCGCGTGGCGCAGACGAAGCCCGGCTTTTTCCCCCTCCCGAAGCCGGTGCGAAGCGAGCCCGAAATCTTGGAAGGCGAATTCCCTGCCCTGGGAATCTCCCACCTGGCTCAGGAGCCGTTCGCATGAGCGCCTCGCTTCCCTCCGCATTTTGCGGGAGCATCCTCTGAGCGTGCCGGCGGCGATTCCCGGGTGCCGGGAGGAAGCGGGAGCGGGGCGGAGGATGCTGAGTCACGGGCAGGCTGGCGGTGCTGATAGACGGGGCCCTGCTCGGGGATTCTGCCCGGCTGCTGCGGGCGCATGTCCCGCGCTGCCCGCACGCCGGACGGCCCCGAGCTTTGGGCGGCTCTTCTGAGAAGCCGGGCCCGGCGAGGCTGGCGAGGGACAGATAACATCTCCCCTCGCCTGCAACCTTGGCGGGACGTGCTCGGCAGGGCAGCGGCTGGGCAGAGATAGAGCCTCGCTTCCCGGCGTTATCGCCGCCCCGGCTGCAAACACCATCCCCTGTGCCCGCACGTTCCTCATGGCCCGCTCGCTTCCTCCTGGCCCCTCGGGGCTTTTGGTTTGGTTTGGTTTGGTTTAATTTTTCCTCCCCTCCCAGCAGCCGGGGTGCTGCTGCTGCTGGCGTTTCTCGGGGAGGCGGCGGTGCCCGGTGCAGGATCCGGGTGGGTTGGCCGATGTTTCCTTCCTGAGCGGAGTGCACGGCCCCGATAAGTGCCCCGGGAGAGCTCGAGGTTTTCTCTGGCGAGCAGCGGGGCCGGCCCTGGGGAGCACCACTGCCGGCTCAGCCGGGCACGCCGGGCCGGCTGCTCGCCAGCCACGG